TAAGTAATGCGACGTTGTTGTACGTTCAAAAACAATTATTCCTAATTTTCCAAAGATTAAAGATAGACATTAAAAACTAAATACACACACACAAGTGAATTATTACAGAAGTCTATATATCATATACAGGGTGGTCCATTCGATCTTGTCTGGAGATGAGGTCAAAAGAGTTGGCGGAACAGGTCGCATTTTACGGTACTGTGGCCTACGTAACTTGTAATGCACGCGAATAAAAGAATCGATATTTCATCTCAACTACCCTTAACAACACATAGAAAATAAAATGTTGTTATATGATCTCTTATACATGTATTGCTGTCTAGAAATAGCAACAAATTTTTCAAAAACGCAGCTTAATTTGTTTAGAAAAAGACGTCCTCCAACGTCCCACTTCGGGTAAAACTGGAAGTACGTGTGTACAGTGGGTCACGGAACCCCATCAACGCATATAAAAGTACCCCTATAAACCCCTTTTGTATGCAAATGTCCGTTCAAACATCTCACGTATCATCAGTCCATTCAAAAATATTTTGCACGTTAATAAATTATTACTGTGGCTATTTTGGCACCTTGGTCAGTTTTATGGACTGTATTACGGTCGTAAATAATTTCTGTGTATAAGTACTCCCAATCGTACCTATAATTTATTTATTTTTTTTTGATAGGTGAAGGTAGAGAAAATACTTCATTAACAAGAAACGTATATTAATTATCAAACTTGGGACAATTTTTGTCACGACACAAACCAATCTGTTATAACAAAATCAAATAAAAAGTGGAAATATTTAATGTTCTGCTAAAAAAATATACAAAAAATAAAAAATAACATCGAAAACTTTCGTTGGTCCTGGTTTGACATGGAACATGAGAAATCTAAATTTAATTGTACAATACAGGGAAAAGCAATGATTTTATGAGCCCAAGTCGTATTTGTTGTGAATTTAATTAAAATATTACTTTTGAACACAACCAGTATAAATTGTGTTCTTAACAAAATTTAACTAAATAAATCTTAAAAAAAAAATTATTCAAAGGTTATTTCGACTGAACTTCCATCTCCCCTGAAGTACACCCCAACACATCCCGTTACTTTGAAAAATAAAAAAAATTGAATTTCCAAACATTTATTTATGATAACCTCTATACATTAAATACATAAAAAGCTAAATGACATCTTTTGACATTCTACTTGTTTTGGTTTGTCTAAAACATCCTACTTTTTTAATGATACTCTATAAATTTTTTCCAGATTTTTGTAGAGCTTGTTATTCCGAATTCATTGATGTATTTTACTTTAATTACCTATATCCTGCCACTTCGCATTCGAGTGCATTATGTTACGAAAACACTTTTGTTTATATTTTCTCTGGAGTGACCACGACAGAAAACGGATTAACAATTGTTCCAAAAATATGAATGCGTTGATAAAGGTAGAGTCTATAAGTGCAATAATAAAACACAAGAATGTACAGTTCTTGAAATTTGATCAATAAAAAATATACCTAGGGGAGGGCAGTAATAAGATAAAAAACAACAGACATACGAATATGTTTGAAATTAAACACTCGCCATGATTGGATTCCTAACTTATACTAGTATAAAAGTTTGCAGTCCAATTTCGATTTTTTTGCGAAAATTTGGACCCTCTATACAGACAGCAGACAGACAGACAGCAAGGGGAGATCACTTTTTCTTACTGTAGGGATCATAAAACGCTGAAAGTAGCAATTCTACAGATGAACTCGATTACTATGCTTCCTTAGCTTACGCTCGGGAAGTAATAAACAAAAGCATCTTTTACATTGTATTAATAAGTCAAAACCCGATTTTAAGTGATCTAACAACGAAAGAGACTTTTAGAATAATAAGCAGAAATTTTAAGAAAATTCAGAGAAATCGCGGCTTTATTTTTTGTAAAGATAACGATTATACGTAAAATCAATGACACGTTACCGTATTGACTAAAACAAACTGTGTCATAACTGGCGTCGTCTAGTGTAGTTTCACAAAAAAATCTTGGACAATTGGTTAATAACTTTTAACATTTTTTAAACACCGAGATTACGAGCAAATGTTTTCAGACAACCTAAAATCGTGTCACAGCCCCGTTACACCCATTCCAGCGTCTTCATTCCAGGCCACAACATAATTATCTCTCAGTTTCCCCCCGAAAAAATTAATAGTATTAAAGCATGATTTAGGCTCTCCCAAAGATGAAATTCTATTGTAAGACGTAAATCATCCCCGACACAAAAACCATTGATTAATGGCTTAATTACTAGACGAAAATATTAAAATAGTTGGCGCAGTTGCCACTGTGAACCTCAAAGTTGTTATTCATTGCTGCGTTGGATAAGTTACGAGCAAACAGATTTGTGTTTTGCTTGTGTAGATTTGATAATTGCAGTTGATGAGAGATCACCGTGACCTCAAGTCGTACTATCTTCATTCAACTCTTCACTGTTATGCCATAAAGGCGGAGTAATAGCTTTGTTATGATACCTGCTCCATTACCGGACAGTAATTTTATTATTCCACTTCGATTCGCCGCTTCTGCTTCTGTTTCGACAGATTCGGGATTTGTTACGAGTTCGTTTAAGCTGAGGGATTTTCACAGAGGAGTAATCGAATTTTCGGCCGACCTACGCGTTCTTCATTAACATATCTTTGGTGTATTTCTTCGTGGGATGTATTGTTTACGGGTTTTTTAATCGATTATTTACAAAGCAGGACCTAACAGCCGTAGAAACGATATTTCAGTGACTATGTCTGTGGAATTAGTCTTAAAATTTGTGCTGGGGCAGAAAAGGTTGTGTTCTTTTCTATTTAAAATCTGACACAACAGGAATTAGTTTTTTTTATTATCACTTGTAGGAAGGTCCTGATTTTTTTTCGTATTCTTTAACGGACCACCTTTTAAAATACATTGTAAAAGGTGCTTTGTATTCAAAGTGAACAAAAAAGACCTCAAGCATAGGATCCAAAGTTACCTATTCAAATGACACTATGCAGCAAGGTCGAAGAACTGAAAACATGGTAAATATTTTTAATAAAATTTAGAAAATTTTAACAATCGACTGTTACAAATTACTCAAATTAGATAAAAATTATTAAAAAATTTGAAACGGTAGGTACATAGGTATAAATGGTTGTTTCTGTAACCACACACACTGTTTTTATAAACCTAGCTGCTATAATTTGTCCAGTTCTAACCGTACCCCAACACATTTTAGGTTAGTAGTTTTTAAGTTTAATTTGAGAAAAACTATGACCACAACCAACACAAAACAAGAATCTCTTTTAATAACACACGCAGTACTTGTTTAATATGGAAAACTATCTATTTTTTTTTCGCTGTTTTAACAAAACTTTCTAAATTCGCTACTTGAAAAAACGTACCTAACTGTGAAAACACCTGTCTCCAAAAGATTCGATTGATGGTTGCCACATAAATTTGATTGCCCCATTTTTCTTTAATTTGCACACAACTTCCAATAAATTATTATTATAGATGCATGAAGTCATCATTAATTAATTACAGCATAATTGATTAGGATTAATTATCCTTAGAAACTTTTGCATGCATAATATCGCCGACACCTATTATTTATTAATGTTCTGTTTTTTGTGTATGTAGTCGGTAAAACATTAAACAAAATTATGCAGATACAAAACTAAAATTTTGTAAATCACTGTCCAACCTTACAACTAAGTGGGTTACGTTGTGGATGAACACGCAACAACATTGCACTCTGCAACCCTCCATTTGTATTCACAGTGATCCCCTCAGTGCTCTACATAAAAACGTTTCTTTGGATCAATGTGACGCCCTCTGTTCGCAAGTAGACAAACTAATAGCCAAAACATCCCCTACCAGCTTCGCTAAAAACCTATCCAAAACTATAGTACCTATTTGTTGGATTTCTAAATTTTGTTTTAAATTTAAGTTTAAAATAAATCTGCATAATTTACACTGAAGGTTCCTTGCATGTGTAGTATTCGGACACAAATTTTATTATTTTAAAGCATAGAACATTAAATGACGAGTGATATGCACATTAGAATAGACATTTGAAATAACTTTCTCGAAAAAATGTGAAGAGGGGAGAGGTTATATACAAATTTGGAAATCTAAAATGTGATTCTATTGTGTTAGCAAAACTTCAAGAGAACTGAAACAGGAAATAATAGGTAATGGATAGAATATACCGGTTATTCAATTTTAAGACACCTGCGTCACAAAAAAATCAGTAATAATTTATTGTGGTCACGTCATCACATTTAAGATGAAGACTAGTAAATAAATTTGAATTAATATCTGTAATGCGTAAGTCAATATTTTTCCAAAATTAAAAAAAATCTTGTAGGTACATCTAATCTATAAAATAAAATGTAAAAGTTGCTTCTGGATGAGTAATCACTGAACCACACACCTTGATTGACCTATGGTAATCTTAACAATAGCTAGTCTTAAGCCACAATTACGAACCCATAGTAATAGGTCCCATAGTTCGAAGTCATCTGTTGAAAAAATTGGGGAGATGACCACAATAAAATATGGGCTTTAAGACACTCTTCGTTAGTACCAGACTTGGTACTACTTTCTAAACAAAACAAGAACAAGTCACCGTTCATAAATTTTTCCCTTTTCGATTTATGTGAAAGGGCAAATGAAATAATTAAATTTCTTAAATCTCCTACCATCTTTAACCAAAACTTTTTATCTACGAAAAGACGTTTTCAACCCTACCTACTAAAACAACCACTCCATTACTCATTTTTCCCTAATTAAAAGTCTTTGACGTCACTTCCCAACTTTAGGCCACCTCCCCCTTCCCACAACCCCCTCGCTTTTTTGACGACCATTTCCGTAAACGGCTAAAAATCAATTCTACACTTTCATGTTGGCACGAACAAGGCGCGTTCGTCCGAAAGTGAAACGTCCTAACGCACTCTACCAACATATGAATTATTTATGGTTCAGTGTTTGTATGTTTCAGATTCATACCATTTTCGCGGCGGTAACGCAACCGAAAAACGGACCCATCGGCCGGACTGCGACACCTGACCTACCATAACACCTTGGTCGACAAAGACAAGCAAATGTTTTTGGTGCGGACCGTAGCGAGTAAAATACAAAGGGGGTGTAACTGACTGGGCCACGGTAATACGTCATCGCTCATCCGGACTGAGTCCGGCACAATTCGGGAGAAGTCCGGGGCTCCGGGGCACTGCACTGGTTTGCACTGTTGTCTATGAGAAGAGATTTGAATTTGAATGAGCGTCTTAGGGGTGAAGAGTTAAAGGGTAATTATCAGCGGCGTTAACAACCGTCGCTGCTCCTCTGGATTGATAGATGTTTAGCGGTAGACAAAAATTAAGTGCTTGACACAGGGGGTGTTCAGAAGTTTAAAACAATTGACTGATATATTTTACTCGGTTTTTGTCAAAATTGTAACTTGTAAAAAGGTATTCAACGTCAAAATCATTAACAGTCGTTTTAAGAAGGAAAACTTATCAGTGTCCTTTTTTTATTAAAATTTTCATTTTCAAGTAAAACGATGATTCTTTTGCTTAGCAAGATTACATGGGTTCGTTTCAGTCAAAACAAAAAATGTGGCAAAGTTGTGGTAATAAATTCAGATAAAATACACCCTATATTAACCACAGTTAACTTTATGTATTATTTTTTTGTTAATTTTATATTTTGTTATTTTATTTTATATTTAATCAAGATGTAATAAAAACTTATCGTGTTGTGTTGATAGTGTGTTTTATTTTTCTTTGCTGCATTTTTAATTGATACCTAATATAGGACTATAATTTTGCATTAATTTTGATTTTTCAGATGAAAATGTCCTGGCTGCAGACTAAATTAATAACTGTATTTTTCTACTCTGACGAAAATATCTAAAAATTAGAAATCACCAGTTGCTTCTATTTAGAATGGAGTTTTTTTTTAAACAAGATGGTACTACTGTTCATATAAAGACATGCTAAGTTTTAACCAAGTACGTAGTCTTGATGTGGGTATGTTTTAGGCTGAGTTCCACCATTTTCTGCTAGGCGCGTGCAGAAAAAGAATTCCTTTATACTAATTATATTACAGAAATAATCTAAAAACTCGCATGCAACGGATGTATGCCATTAAAGAATAACTGAATACATGATATGGTTTCCGATAATTTGTCACATTAATGGCTTAAAGAGTTAATACTTATTTCTTATTACTTTAATTATGAGTCGATATGGGCGAAATTCGCATCAACAAAAAAGGAGGATATGAGGGTAAAACTTTTTTTATAAATTGTAGCAAATTATCTGTTTGTGATTCCCGTAGTAAGTACAAAGCATGTATATGTTACACAACAGTATAGCGAAAATTGTACCAATATGACCCCATATTCTTGGAAAACATTTCATTTCAAGCTTATGTTTTAAAACCAATTTTTATGCATAATTTATTTTCAAGATTTAAAATATTAACTACGTAGGTAGGTATACTTAGTTTACACTTGAATTTTTTCTTTTTAGTTTAAATGATAAACAAAAAGAATAAAATAAGGAAAAAAATTTTAATATTTAAAAATAGCTAATCTATTTAGGACTGACTTTACTTTAATCATTAACATTATTCTGCTAACATTTGTCTTGAATGTAATTCTCGAAAGCATTACTTCTGTAGCCTGTATTTAAGTATTGGAGACCAAACGGACTACGTTCCTTCTGAAAATTAATATTGCATTTGGTTGTCTTGCTCCATCATATTTACGTTTTTTTTTTTTCTTATTTTACGATGTTTTTGTGTCTTTTCTGATTTTTCATTCTCTGCAAATTGCGTTGCTACCTGAGTGTTTTTTTTTTTTTTTTGTTATCCACTAATGGAATGTGTACTTTATTTAATACACTGTTTTTGACTTACCGATAAAGTTAAGTACCGTTTATTATTATTATTATTATTATATAAGCATTTACCGAAAAACTGAAATGGGCTGACAAAACTTTCTCGTAACATTTTTTTCGCGTCTCAGAAATAGGAGTTAGCGTTATTCTTCTTCGCAGATGGCGCGAAAACGACTTGACGAATAGTAACGATGTTTTGATACCCCTCGCCCGGTTCTGGATATTTTGGTCTAATCCTCGTGGAATTTAGCTAGCGTTCTCGGCAATGCCGTTAATAAATCAACCTATAAATAAAAACAATTTAAGCAATCGGCGGCCCGTGAAACCACAGCCGCTTCTTTAATCAATAACTCTTCAGCGACGTTGTTGAGAACGAAAGAGTAATTTTAAAAAGATACCTAGCAACATTAGAGCTGCAGCCTAAAGCACATCAAACTCATTATACTTTAGTGGTCCGTATCTGGTAATAATATTTTACTCCGCTGAATACCCTCCCCGCAATAACGAGCAAAAGGCATTTTTCGCTCTCGCGCTCGTTAGCGATATCCGAAAATGTGAAACGACCTTAACCAAATTATATTCCATTGACCCAAGACGCTTCGACTCTATTATTTCCAAGCACGAGAGAATTACGAGGTTCACGGACTAACGAAAACAAACACACTTGCCGCGCTCTCAAAACAGGGATTATTTTGGTCAAGCTTTCGAGTTTTTCTTTTTCGCGTGGACGGTGGCACACATAAATGCGCTAATTTCGACACCGTCTAGACGACCCCGCTGGAAATGGGCTACCGAACAGCTGATCGCCCCTCGCGTAATGACAAGGACCAGAAGAGCCGCTTTGTCGGACAGAGAACGCCAAGGGTGAAGCCGAGGGCGCGACAGAGACAATCGGACACATTCAACCCTGATTTTACACGCACTTGACTTCGGCCGGGTGCAGGTTCAACATTTACATAACTTTCCGGGTTAAGGTGCCGCTACTCCGGGGCGCCACGCGCACACAATCGCCAAAAATTCCCAAAAACTGTACCAAGTAAAGTGTGTATTCCTTATTTATATTTAATAATGGGTATGCTGCTAAACCATTCGCATTTTAATTTTCCGATAAGGGTACCTTACCTAACTACAGTGAAAGTATCTTTTTAAAAGTGTTTCTTTATTTTGTTTCATTTAATTAACGCCTATTTACATTTTTTTTATTACATTATTGTTATGGCATCAATTACAAAATTTTAAAAACGCTTAAAATTCAACTTCAAAAAATGTATAGGTATATATTAAATTAAAACTGATATATTTTTTCTCTTTCGTTATCAGCCAAAGCTTTACATTCAGACAAAATTTTCTACAATTAGATAATTACATTTAAATATATGATTATCTAACCAAAAATAACAAAATGAAGTACCATATAAGAAGGAAAATTCAGCCAAAAATTCTTCCCTACAATAGGAAGTCGACTTTAGTGAAATAACATCTTTGCTGTCTCGATTGTTTCAGTTGTATTTTAAAAAATCGGTAGGTAAAAATTGAGGCATAAATTTGAATTTGCATCGCAAACAAAAAAAAATTTTGAAGTCGCAGAATGATGGCGAAAAATACGAAAATAAAATGAATGTAAAATACTTGTGTATTTGTTCTAAAAATGAACAATAATAAATCATCAGTTCGTCTCCTGTTGATTCATATCAAGACTGCATACACGCAAATAAGTGACAAAATCTGTAGATACAATTTTTTTGTATTTTTGGAAAGACGCCTTCGATGTACAAAAATATTATGGGAATAAAATTTTGAGGGGGCGAAATTGTTTAGCTTCATCATTTAAATTTTATTAAAATATGTTTGTGTATTTTTCAATGTTCGACTATTATTTGAATGATTTTCCCCTAATTTTCTAAATTATTAAATTGTGAAAGATGTTTCCACATGGAAACAAATTGCTTTATTTTTAAAACTGAATAAATTTTATGGAAAAAACTTTGACGATTTAATTTTTTTTTTTTTTTGAAATTTATTTTTAAACTACTAAAAATGAAATGCAAAACAGACCTTGACAGATCACATAATTTTTCTCTCCATAGAGGTAGATTTGGTGATCATTTAGTGATTTCGCGCCTTTTTATTTGGAAAAATTATATTACCGAAGAAATCATAAAATCCTTTACTCATTTGCACACTGGCAAGAAAGCAATCACTTCAAATTATAGCTCTCGATTTTTGAGAAAATAGAAAAATAGTGATGAAGTTAATTCAGGTAAACAGTTTAAGAATAAATGTAATATTTAAGTACATAGATAAGTTGAAGAATTTTTTTTTTTTTCAAATTTCAAATTAATACAACAGAAATATAATATATAGATATTTATAATACGAAAACTAGTTCAATTAAAAAGGGAACTGAAAAAGAAACAAATTGGCTAGGGACACTACTTTACATTATTATGAAAAAAAAAAGAAACTGTACAAAAATAAAAATTTTAATTATTTTTCAGAGAGCTAAAATTTCTAAACAGGGAATTTGCTGAGAGTGTAAAAACTAATTACACTGATTTTTTTCAACGTTTCTATAGTGCGAACGTTGAACTAAAAATAAAATTTTAATCTACCACAGCTTAGTATGTTTATCAAGTTCAAATCTTACAATTAATTAAATCTCTTCACGCGACTATTATTTACGTCAAGAAACTATAGAAAATATCTTTGACACAGAGATATCCACTTGGGTGAAAAAATGAGTTTACAGCATTACATGACCCTCGGTCGAACTCGCAGGAGCCAAACATACTAAGTCGAAACTTCTACAACCACGCTATTCAAAACTTGGTCAAAATTAACGATTCAAATTACTGAATTTATTTTACTGCTACTTTGATTTACGATCAAAAATATTTTACTATAAATCAGTTAAATAAATGATGTCGGTTCAGTTTTCTATTTGTAATGAAAATAAATCCTCGACAATTTGTAAATATGCCTCGTATACACATTATAGTATTATTATTATCGATATTACTTCGGCAACAATTATTGCAAATTCTATGTATGAAAACCGATTGAATGTGTTTCGTCTCGTTTTCACTTGAGAAACGGCAGTTTCGTCGAAGTTTTGAAACCGACGTCGCGCACCACAATCCCGTAACGCTCCCGCGTGTCCATGCCCTTAGCAGCGTACTAACCTCGCCACCCACCTGCAATGGCCATCCAGGGGTAAAACGTGTGATTCGTCTGCTGGTGGATCTGCGTGCCGACCGGCTGGGACGAGCTAGAGTTGATGGAGCAGGGGTTATTCCACGAGAGCGAGTTGGCGGTCCTGCCAGCCGCCGCCCCCGGGCTCGACGCCGGGTCGCCGCCGACGAGTCCCACCGCCGACCCGTATCCCACCCTGGAGTCCGGCGTGCACGCCGCCGGCCGCACCGGCCCCGTCAAACTGTTCGTCAAGTTAGCGCCACCGCCAGAAGTCGCACTTTGCCAAACGTCCTTGACGGCGGCCGCCGCCACCACGGAGGCGTAACCGTTCTGGTCGGCGTTGCCCTTGGAGCAGTCCGGCTTCGAGTTGGACGTGCTGTAGTTGACGGAGTTCTGCTGGCCGTCCGCGGACGAGGAGTAGAGCTTGCATGCCGCCGCCACCGACGCGTCGTACGGGGAGTCCTGGGGCGGCCGCGCCTGGTGGAGCGAGTGGTGGTGGTGGTGCTGGCTGGAGGCGTACGGCGACATGCCGAGGCTGAGCGGGAAAGAGCGGTAGGCGGCCGCCGCCGCCGCGCTCTGCTCGTGGTGGTGGGCGCCGCCGACGGAGCCGCTCTGGTGGTGGTGGCTCCCGTAGAAGCCGCTCTGCTCGAAGTACGAATTCATGGCGCTCACTGGAATGTCACTGCACCAAGAAGCTGCGGACACACCGGGCCGACACGCGGCTCAGCGACATACTAAATCAATGACGTCACGATATGGGATGATTGTTGCGGCGATTATGGGTGATAATTGCAATCGCGACCAAGTGGGCTACGAGTACGAGATCGAGTTCGCACGAGCACACGTCGCGGCAGCTCGCTCCGGAATGCGCGCGTTAGCTGCTTTTGTCGCGGATGGGAACCCACTGGAGCTCCGGAGTCTGCTCCGGCCCACACATCCCGGCCCATTGCCCCTCCCCCCCCTACCCGGGGCAGCACGCGGCCGCCGCACGGCCCGCGAAAGCGCTACCTGTCTTGCCGCCCGGATCGGACACGGTCGCGCCTAATTGGCCCCAGCGCCACGGCCCCCCGGCCCGCTTCCGGCCCTTCCGGCCCGATTTTCGCGATTTTTCCGATCGAGCACGTGCTCGAGACGGAAGGCGCAACTAATGGAAGGGATCATACATGAGCCAATAGCAATTGAATTCGTCACAGCCTTGGCGCCCACTTCAAGCATTGCGCAAGTGGCCCCTAACGAGAGAGCCGCCCCACCACCGCGTGCAGCGGCGAAGGCGCGTGGCGCCAGCTGTCGGGCAATTGCTCAACCCGACGAAACCAGACACTTTCCGGCATTGAAACGAGCAACATCAAATTGCCACTTCAACTCGTAAAAGATAAAATTCATTCAAAATAAAACCGGGACCGTAAACGGGCCGTCGCAACTCGTAAACGCGGGCCCCAGGGAGAAGAGGAAGAAAGAAAAAAAATCTAATAAAAATTATACGCGATAAAACTTACACACTTTACACAAACCGATCGTTTTGGTAGTAAAAATTTTATTGCGCTGGCACGCTTTTGGGTGTGACTTCTTTTAGTTTATGGAGTGCCAGCTCCATAATTCTGCCATGGTCGTAGGTGACATTTACGATCACTCAAATCCTAATAAAATCAACTTTTATTGCTGTCTTACCTCTGTGCATATTGAAAGTGCCGAACTTGACACTTTCCCACCCCGGTTTCTTGTTGACGGTCGACATAAGGATGAATTTGGCCGGACCAAATTTTATTGTATTTTTACGACCGCATAATAGCTACTATAATGACACCCAAATAGCCGGTAGGTTTGTTCTATGTGTTTTATGTTTAAGATAAGTAATTCTTGGGTGATAATTTTATAATTTGATACTTTTTGCTGCCTGCTTAAGCACAACTTTTATGTAGCAATAAAAGCAATCTACATACCATTAGAACGCTATAAACAATGATAATTAGGTTTATGTTTCGGCACGGCCCTAATTCCGTGCTTTATGTATTTTAAATGTCGCACAATGGTCCGAGTTAACGCTCTCGAAAGGGAAATTTGACAAACCGTTGCGGTAGCAATCAATCTTGTTTTGCAAATTATTATTAACCTGATGTTACGATAACTGTACATCACTTTATTAAAGTTATCGTCAACGTATTTACTGGTTACGGAAACAGTTTATTTCGGTACATCCATACTTATGCACATGAATGAAAATATCAAAATCGACCCTTTTTTAAAAGAAGTATTTTTTATAACAATTTTCAACAGAATTTAACACTTCCTCTTCGGTACCGCCAACATGTGTTTAATTTCCTCAAAAAATATATATATATATATATATATATTTTCTATAGTAGCGGTTACTTTTTACAAGAAATATAACAACAATATAATACATTAAATATTTCAAAAAGACTTGTTTTATGAAGCAACTATAGCATCAACATTAATAAGAATTCATTTAATTTTTCCACTTTTTTTGTCTAAAATTTTTCCAAAATGTTGTCTTAAATTATTCCGATAGTTGAGATCACTGCTAGAAAAGTCCCACAAATAGTTCTAACGCGGATGAACCATTCCGCAACTTTACAACTTTGATCCATAACTAAGGTTTTTCGTGTTCTTTCTGCTTTTACTACTTTAGTTATCCTTGACTTTGTTACATAATAATGAATTATTATATTCATAACAGTGCTTTATTATGTGGAGAAAGTTCAACTAGATAGAGATACTTCAAGAGCATTAAAGAAATTTATATCCACCTTCATTGATTTTGTTAATTACATTTATCATTGATAACGGAGCTAAGTTTATCGGAGACGTTGATAAATAATCATTTAGTTCCTCTAGACATTACACAAAATTTTATACAATCAAACTATTTCATCTAATTGTAGTCAATTACTGCCTTGTGGTGATTGCTTTTGTAGATATTAAATCATAACTCACGAAGTTCGAATAGTGAATATCCAAAGGCAGGATTATTCTCAGTTCAAAGATATTCGGTGGAGATTATCACCTCCCTAAAAATTCAAAAAAATTCGTGATGCCGGGGCATATCATTACTGACACGGACGATTTTAGATTAAAAATAATTACGACGTTGTTATCGGGGAAGAAAATTACACCACTTACAACTAAAACGCTTTTTAAATCAATATGTTAGAAATAGTGCAGCCAATACCGCCATTATTACGCTATCGTTCGAATTTTGTGATACCTCAATATACGCAGAATTTCAGAATATTTATTATTCAAACGCAAGAAAAACAAACATCATTATACATTGATGTTCACAAGAATGACAAAATGTTTTTAAAATTTTGTTCATAAGAGATTTTGACTGTTACGAACAAAACAACATCTCTGAAAAGTAAAAAAATATGATTTTATTATTTTAAAATAACAAAGCTTTTCGGACAGTTTTCTGTCAGGTAGAATGTAAAAACATAGTTCCAAACCGCGAACAACTTAAAAGTGACCAAATTATGTCAAATCAATTTTAATTTCAGTAGCATATTTTTATATTCCAGTACCATGCATCTACCCCACTGTTTTATATTTGCTAATTATTATTGATACCAGTTTATCACATTTTTTCAACTTTATTAAATCGTAGAATTTTTGGAATTTTATTTCATGCTATTACAACGTAAAAAATTACATGCCAAACAGTGGTTGCTGCAATGCTGCCTATAAACAGGAACCAACCACGAGTATTCCCAACCAATTAGTCTGGGCCTTACTGGTAAGTAATATTTATCTTATTATGACCTCAGAAAATGGTTACTTAGTTAAATTATATAACGATTCGTTTTCATATTATCTTTTGTGATATTTTTAAATAATTAATATTAAATTTATCGCATGCTCAGACGCTACAGAAATAAAACCCAAACTTTCATATAATCTCATACCTTAAAATAATCTTAAAGTTTTTCCCATATGAAACAAGAAAATCTCTAAAGTTATTTAGATACACAGAATCACTGCTGCCCATACTCGTAAAGCGTATTGTGAACAAACATTTATTGCAGAATGTTCTAAAGTCATCAACTTTCCACTATTCACATAAATTTTAGTTACTGTAAAATTTGATTGTTTAAGTAAACTTAACCAAAGAAGTACGCAGTTCTAAACATTCAAACTAAAAAAAAAATGGTCGAATGTTATTTCGTCAGAACTTTCCTTAAAATTATAAAATTTGATTTTGCGGACACTTGTATCAATTTCGATAGATGTAGTGTAATACTAATAACAGTATTGTATTCCCAAATTTTCAGGAAAATTGAGTGAGCCGTTCCTGATTTAATCAATAAAATAAATTGACTCATTCATTAATTTTTTTGACTCACTCTCTAGAAGCATTTCTAAAAAATTTTAATATAATGTTAAATCACAAGTATAGACTCATCATATTTTGCATATTTTCGATACGAGTTATTTCGCAAAATTGTTGAGATGACGTCATCAAATTTTTGGAGGGGATAAACAGATACATTTTTGTTAAAATTTACCATGCTTACGATAACTTTAACAGGTCTGCAGAATTTCAAAACATTCGGTTTTGCATCTTCTATTAGGAAATTAAAAAAAAATAAATGGAATGTTAAATAACAAGTAGGTATAGACTCATCATGTTTTGTACATTTTCGATAGCATTTATTCCCTAAAATTTGATATGATGTCATTCATTTTTGAAGGGGTTAAACAGATATATTTTGAGTACAAATTTACCATGCTTGCGATAGCTTTAAAACATCTGCAATATTTCATAGCATTCGGTTAACTCATTCATTAATTTTGACTGATCCTGTATAAGCAATTCTAAAAATGTGAATGCAATGATAAATCACAAGTGTAGACTCATCATATTTTGCACGTTTTAGATAGGATTCGGCAAGATTTTAAAATGGCGTTATCAATGTTTGGGGATATATATTTTGATTAATAATAATTTACCACAATACGACGCTTTAAACGCGCGTCTACAGGATTTTAAAAGCATTCGGTTTTGGGGATTCAAACTTAAATGGCAAAATGTTGTTATATAATTTTGATTTTTTTTTCCAAAAATATGGATGTTTTGTGTAGGAACTCAACACGGATTTGTAAACTACTCGCGTAGGAAAGAGTATGTCATTTTATACAATTTAAAACCCATGTACTGTGTACAGTTTTGAGGTGACGTCATCACATTGTTGGTGAAGATGATTAGACAAATTTTGGTTAGAGTTTTACCATCTGCATGATATTCGTAACATACACATAAAATTTTAGAACAATCGGTCCGGTAGTTTCGGATAATATTTGTCTAATAAAAATTGACACAGGCGGCGGACAGACAGACTGTCAAACAGACCGGCAGACAGGCAGACAGACAGACACCAACGGAAAACGCCGGATGGACTCGATTATAATAAGTACTTTCTTAGCTCGGGCTCGGAAAGTAAAAAACAAATTTTGATTAGTGTTCGTCATTATTCTTACGATAATTCGGTCGATTCGGTCGGTAGTTACAGAAATACTGATTTGTCTAAACTTTCAACAGAGAACCTTAGTGACAAATAAATAGGAGGATCATTTATGTCAAGATTTTCGGGGGAATTGTATATTATAAATTACACTCAGGGGCGTGCGTTTTAACCACAATTTAGATCGAATTGTCAAGTCGAATGATTAAATTCTGTGAAATGTATCAAATATCCCTAACAATACAACAGGTTAGGGAAGAGTTGAAATACTTGTGTAGAGTTTCATATAAAAATAATAGGTGTCTCTAATAAAAATGGCAAGTAACAACCTCGTCCAAAAAGTCAGTGAAGTTAATGTTCCACCTTGTTGCATTATTCCTAGGAGGGTAGTTTATTTCGTAAAACGATA